TCTGTCCCTGTCTCTGTCTCTCTCTCTCTCTCACACACACACACACACTCTGCTGTGGCAACCAAAAATATCTCTGGGCATTAATTAAATCATTAAATGTAGCCTGGGAACCAAAATCTCCCCTGGCTGAGAACCACTGATGTAGCTCCAAGTTGCAAGGATGGATTAGTTTATATTTCTACTAATGGAAATATGTTTCGCGTGCACACAGACCGGTATTTGGGGGTTTAACATGTGTTTAGACAACTCTTATAATGCCAAGAATTCATCTGCAATGCCAACAGTAAAGTAGAGAAAAGCTATATGACAGATACAATGTATTCCAAAGATTCATGCAATAGTATGAAATAGGCAACTCTATCAAGAACACTAAAATCACATTTATATTCAGCAAAGATAAAAATATAAACAATTAGATGTGTGCAGTGACCCTAATTTATGAATGCTTTCCTTCTATTCTATAACTTCAGATAACCCTCTCAGCAGAGTTCAGAGCTAACACCATCCCAAAAAATTGACTCTAATCTAGTTATCTACTTGGAAAAAAATATTTACCATACCATATATTAGGATACTCTATCACCACACTTAATAACTTTATAATTCAATACCATAGTTTGAGAAAAAAGAATGCCAGCAGGCTGCCTGCACAAACAATATTAAAATTCTGAATATATGTGGTTCTGTGAAAGTCACTGGTATTTTTACATTGCATTCTAAAGAAGTAATGAGAAAATTTCTTTGGAGAAACCACAACCTACCATAACTTATAATGATGTTAATACCGGAGACTCCAGGATCCCCTATAATCTTGATATTAACTTGGTAATATGAGTGATAATTATTCAGCAAGAAAATAAAGCTAAAATGTATTGAGGGTGGGTCGCAGGGATTGTAATCACTTATTAAGTTACCACTGTGTCCACTTGCAAGAGACTACTCCACATTTAAGTACCCAAACACTGTTCTTTTTTATGCATTTATCACAGTTTCATTGAAAAAAATTATAGCTGCATTTTGCTTTATATCCCATTTTCGATACACAGAGTTGGACTGAATAAATTTAAAATGCAATTGATGGCCAAAGGATAAAAACATCCTTTTCTGGCTCAGGATAGTTTAATCTGTCATTACAAAAAAAAAGAAAAAAAAAGAATTAATACTTTAAATAACTAGGTCAGGGCTGGCCGAGTGGCGCATTGGTTAAAAACTGGCTTGGGATGCCAGAGGGCCCATTCGGATCCCACATATGAGAGCCAGTGACACTGCCCTCTACAGCTAAGATGCCAGAGGCCGGCAACTGATCTGCCTCGCCTGGGAAGAGCGCAATGATGGTGCCAACTTGGGCCAGTGAAGCGACGTCCTCCACAACCAGAGTGAAGAACAAAACAACAGCAACTTGTCTGTTCCCCTTCCCCCGATTCCCCAGTGCTGTTCACCTCCCCCAATTCCCCAATAAAATCTTTAAAAAAAAAACAAAAACCTAGGTTAATGGAACTGGAAATTCGTCTTCCTGTTTTCTGTTGCCCTGTCCTCTAATCCACGTGCCAGAAGAATTTCAAATGCGATTCCCCTGAAAGCTACAGATTTAATAGGCTAATGGGCGGTTACCATTCTTGTTACTGGACTGCTTCTATTCAGTCTCCAGCTAGAAAAATTGTTTTGTTGTTGTTGCTTCAGCATCATTTCCTGACATTAAAGAAAAAACAGAAAGCAAGTGGCATGGTAACTAGAAGAGAAGAGCAAGCTGGGTTAATTTCTACAGCAATTTCCCAAGTATTATTTTCCCCTTTCAAGATTCAAAATCAAACAGAACTGTTCCTCTGTATTTTTAATGAAATAATGAGCAATAACTTGTGAAATTATGATCTCATTACTGTGTTATGAAACCGTTTAATACACTTTGATCAATATATTAGCACAAACATACTCTAGTAATATCACAATGTAAGCAAACCTGATTGACCTATGCTAATAGATACTAAGACATAAAAGGTGCATTAGGGTATTTGAAGAAAAGCCAAATACCTTGACTACTCCCCAGGAATGGCATTCCCCCAACTCTTCTGTACATATGGACAAATCCCCTAAACGCAAAGAAATCTTACATATATATTCTTATTCTTTTATGAAGTTAGTTAAAAATTAATGAACAAGAAATTAAAGAGAAGCTGCTGTAATAAAGTTAGAATATTCTAACTGAAAAACAATTACAATGAAACTAGTTACACTCCCACAGAATTATAAACATTTTTCAAGGGATATTTTGCAATACAATTTTTTAAACAATGTTTTCTTCTCCTTACTCTTGAGACTTAAACACTGCAGGTTTATTTTACATTAAAAAATACATTTATTAGAGTAAGAGCTTTTACTTTTGCAGAAAAAGAACCCTGTGATTCAAAGTAACATGTTGAATGCTTGCTTAGATGTTTCTTCAAACACATTTACATGCTTCATCTTTCAACTAAGAGGGTTAGTTTTCAGCTATATGTAATTGACAGAAAATTGTGTTGAAATGGTAGTATTAATTAATTCTGGGAATTTAATCAGTCAGATTTCTCAGAAATGCAGCTCTTTGTACAGAACTGGAAAAAGACCAACAGTTTGTAAATGTGTTCACTGCTTTTCCACTGTTTTCACCTCCTCTCAAAATTATATTCCTGTTTTACAGAAATGAAAGCAAGTAGCTTAATTCTTATCCTGAAAGCGAAATTATTTTTTAAAGGGGAAAAGGGTACCTTTCTAGCTGTAGATATTTAATCCAACAAAAGCTCTAACTCTAAGAGACAACCACAGGGCTTTCACTAAGAAAAAATCCCCTCTGTAGCGGCTGGCTCAAACTCAACAAACTTGAACTGTGCAGATGTTGAAGTGGGTCTGGGCTCCACTGGGGAAGAAAGAAGAACTAGACATTCCACAGCTGCCTACACCAGCTTCCTTCCCAGGGGCACAGTTGTAGGCTCTATCGAACTCAATCACTTTGTACAGCAACTGGGATCCCAGGCAGAGGCCAAGGACTCCCAGAGCAGCTTCGATTTCTTCCAGTCGCACAGCAAGAAATAAGACTACTTAAAGGGTAACCAGTTATTTCCAACAATTATATGGCCCCAGGCCAAAAAATAAAAATGATGAAGAACATCTGTAATAAGAGAAAATAAAAGATATTTCCTATTTCTAAGATGTCAAGCTACTTATAGAAGATGTTCCTTGGGTCTTTGTTATGAAAATGACTATGAATATTTGATCTTGATTCCTTACCAATATTTTATCTGGGAGGGCGGGGAGAGAATGGTCAAGTTGAAGAAATGCAAAACTTAATTAACAATTAGTTCAATGATTGTAACGTAACCCATTCATTGCAGGGTTTGAAAGGAATAATGTCTGTGACAGTAACAGCATGTTTAAAGGTAAACACTCTCCTATTTCACATCAGTATACATTCTCACAAGCTCTTACGGACATTTTATCAACTAAAATAACTCTATTACTGATATGGAGTGCCTAAAAGCAAGCAGTCAGAGAGTACTCTTTCCTACTTGAGGAGAACTGGTGCTATGGCAGATGACATTTCATAAGGTAAATCAGAAAGGAAGGACCTATAAATATTTAGCTCATTAAAATAACAGAAATATACAGATTACTATTCCCCATAAAATTATGCTTTTATACTAATCATCTTCTTCTAGGGTAGTAAAAGACCATATGTAGATGCATTCTTTGAGTAGTTTTTAGATCTTGAATTTATGATACCATTAACATCATTAATTCTTACTTGTTCAGAAAATGATTATTATACCTTCATACAAGCACTTACAAGAACATAGCAATGAAAAAGATACAACAATGAAAACAATAATGATGTTCAATTTATCTCGGGCTTGCTATGATTCAAGCACTGTGGTAAGAGCTTTGGATCCATTACCTCATTCCCTTGCCCATGATATTATTCCCATTTTATATTAGAAGGAATTTTAAGGTCACTGACCTAGATGGTACAGCCAGAATTTAATCTTTTTGACTCGGAAGTCCATGTGCTAGTTATTATGCTCCATGACTTCACTGAAAATAGCATTTGTACATTAAATTGGAGCATTTTAAATATTTTTCAAATCAATTTTAAAGCTTTATACTATGTTATTTAATTGTTCTATTCAGAGAAAAATAGGCTCTCTACATGAGATGTTAGTGAAATCTCACTTACGTTGCTTATCAGCCCTTATCCTTCTCTAAATACCGACTTTTTTAATAGCCAGAGAAAGGCTCGCTTCAACCTGGAGTATTAGTAATGCAATAATTCCCTGAATATGTTCATATTCTAAGTATCCTAAGTTCCAGGTGCCTGTTTTTCTGTTTTAGGGTGACCCTCGAAACCACAGGTCAACAGCTAATAGGCAATTTTATGTTACATAATCGACACTGAGGCATATAAACACTAAACCACACCTGAAAATGTATAATAAGAAAACGTATTCATATCAAGGATAAAACACCAAATGAGAAAACTTCAAGCCTTACAAGCCCTTTGTTTATAGTTCAACAATATTCCTCCAAGACAACGCCACACACTACAGCAAGGAGGAATGCATGAGGCAGAAGCTGTTGACATATGGGGTATGCACAGAACTTCTGGTTAATGGAAGTTCCAAGATGTATAAATAAAAAATGATGTGTGAGTTGGTGGAAAAAACTGTAAGGCAAGTCAATTTTTTAATTAAAAAATTATGTAGCATAAACAATGCTAATGAGCCAAAAGTCCCAGGAGATTAGGACTGTATCTGCTTCATTTTAACATTCCGTTCACTTTTCATAAGTGTACATCCACTCACTTGAAATACCTCAAGCAGAACCATTTTCATAAAATAACAGTTTTGAAGATTTTCTTTGTCCTTGTTCTTCATAGCTCATCATTTTCTACTCAAGTTGTCAACTTCATGACATTAAAAATAAATAAATAAAATGCTCTAAAATCCTTAAATTATTCACCAGACAAGAAATACCTGGAAGTTCTTCATAAATTTCATCATCGATTGGTTGGCTGAAGGCTGGTGAACTGCTGATTGGTAGCGGATGATCAACATCGTCGTATAAATCTCCTCTTTCATCATCATCCTCGGGAATAATGTCAGATCCCATATCTACAAAACATGTTTCAGGAGGTACATTTTTAAAGAATGCAAAAGAGGTTTTCAAAACCCTATTTTCTACATTAATGCAGCCCTCCAAAGTCGCAAGATTGTTACATGCAATCACCTTAACTTAAAACATTTTTTAAAATTGACTGTTGCACCAATATGTGAATTTCAAAGTTGCCAGTTGGTACTTATAGAATACTTTTGCAAATCTAAAGTCAATGGTCTGCATTAATACAGTCATGTTCCTGTGGTCATTCTCACAGAAATTCAATAAGCTTTTACACATGAAAATCCAAATCATTCAGCTAGTCAGTATCCAGAGACTGCAATAGCTGGTTCAATGCATCGTTCTTACCTTGCAATACAAATTTCAGCTGCTGTACCCATTCTTCAGCATCTTTGGGAGAAGCTGCTGTGAACTAACAAAAAAACAAACAATAACAAGAAAAATCACCACAGTAGAAATGAAAGGTATGTCACGTTCTTATCAGTTCTTTAAGATCATTAGTAATTCTTTTCATGTCTAGTACTACTTTTCTTGCAAGGATGCTTCTTATAATGTACAGTTAATTTTGACAAATTTACGTAATTGAAGCAGAGGATGATGGATTTGAAACTGTGATCAGCAGCTGGCAGCTGTGCAGGAAAAAAAGCTGCTTCTCTTCATCAATGTCAAAGACAGAACTGATGAACAAAATTTGCCCTTGACAATTAGAAGACACCCATGAATTTCTTTAGACTGCTGGGTACAGTTTCCTTAAAAATGTTCTTGTCAGATTCCAACACACTACCTGACAACTTAATTAACTGGCTTTCAACTGCAATCTCAGATATTTAAAACTTATTAAACATACATTCCATATTGATGCTAGCTGATAGCTCTTGAATTGCAAAGCTGATAAGTGCCTTTACCTTGGTTTTCAATCCCACAAGCCTAAGCAATACAATACGCATTAACACTCTGATATTTTTCGTTTGATAATTTTACTCTTTCTGCTAGGTAATTCTTTTAAGAAATCACACAGTTCTATTAAAGTAGATAGAAAATGCAACATGTGAAGTAACTGATAAATTACATATTCACTTGTTCTCTTTCAAGAAGGTATCACTTACTAATCTGAAATTTTTTTATAAATGTATTACCTCTTATGTGCACGTTCAATGGGTAAAAACCAGTATTCTCTTTATTACTAACATGTCAGGGAGAGTTGTTTTAACAAAATGTTAATGTCTTTATAAATGAAATCAGAACATTTTATCAACTTAATTTCAAAACAACATAAAAACTCCAACCTGATAGACACGTTTATCAGGAGCGGAGACTTCAAAACAGCAATCTTTCTTTGCATCCTTCCTAAGAGTGTTATTCATTCTGACATTGTAGCCATCTATTGCAAATTCACCTTTCTGTTGTTTGTCTGTTGAAGATAAAAAGAAAGTCAGAATTTCATTTACAACAGTGAGTATAAATGCCTGGTCGATTATCTTATTTAGATTTTCTTTGTCAGTTCTGGGAAACAGTAGTTTTTGGTCATACTGCTTTTGTAGTATAATGTTTAAATAATGTTTCTAGATATCACTTTTAATTCTAAAGTCATAGAAGTATTTGGGATTGTTGGGTTTAAAAAGGATATCTCTCAGGGAACCAGAGAAGAGGTCTGCAGA